TGTTACGGTTCAGAATAACAATAGCCATAGTGTACCTACAGTCTTCATTGTGGTTGCGTTTTGTTGTTTATCCAGCTGTTCTGTTAGGATCCTACAAGGTAACCCGAAAAAGGAACTACATGGAGACTATATGTAGTACTCAGAATAAAACAAAGAAGGATAGCAACAGTTTCTGTCGGTAGTTCGATGGGGACGTTGGGTGTACGATGGAAGAGGACTTGCTCCCAACTTCCAACCCCTTCAGACCCTAAACCCCCAACCCTAAGCCACACTAAAACCCAGGCCACGAGCCCCTTGCACAACTTGTAGTGTCCTTAAGGGAGGGGGGTCCAAGGGGGGTATATAGCCTAGTGATCCCTAATTCTCCCTAGTACTCCCTAAGGTTCCCTTACAGTCCCCTAAGGATTCCTTATACCCTCCCCCCTTGAACCACCCTCCCTTAAGGATCCTATAAAGAACGCGGACACTCCGACCATGAGGGTAAAGAGAACTTAGCCAAATCTGCAACACACCTCCGCGAACGACTGGATCCAGACATTCAGCGGGACGCGCCCACCAAACACGGATGAACTCGAAGTCTACTTAAAGGCTCATGGGACTTAGTAAGTAAGGCTATAAGTAGGATATAATTAGGATAACCCCACTTAGGGGACTTATAACCCCAATTATAACCTATTTACTAAGTCCCATGATCCTTTAAGTGCACCGAGTCCCAGCCAAAGCCCAGAACACTTTTTCCACGCAACCTAGATCTGCCTCGAAATCCCTAAACTATACTGAACTTAGAACCATAGCCAAAATTCTAGTTTTAGCTGTTTCTTAGGGATTATAATAACCAAAAATTAACAATTATTTCTAAGTACCCCTAAGTAAGCACGAAATTCCAAACTAACTCGTACAGCGCAAGCATGGACATGCCAAACGCTGAGATCCATGCACCCCGACCAGCCTCACACTTGCAACCTGCAAACACCCGCACATAAACACCAAAATCGAATCCACAAAACTTTACAACAAACAAACAGCTTTTTCAGAGCTCTGGGTGGCAGGCTACCCAGCAGCCACTCCCAGTCGTCAGAGTGTGAGGGGTCCTGGTTTCGGGTTGGGGGCTTAGGTTAGGGTTTAGGATCTCGCAGACTAAGGCTCGGGGTTCAGGTTTCATCGTGCTTCTAGGGCATTACAGGCTTCGGAGTTTCTCTGGGGTTAAGCTTGTGAATATAGCTCTCGATAGACAATCTCGGGTGGGGTTCAGCAGTTGAGAAAAAGAGTATACGTAAAACATAAACTACTTTGGGGAGACGACGACTATGTAAGGGGCATCCGTAAATAGAAAGGGGTTCCCAAAGCTGATTACTTGGAGGGTCGGGGGACTTAGTAAGTAGGTAGTAAGTAGACTTATAAGTACCCTAAAAGGGACCCTAGTTGGGGTTATGGTATTTAAAGTCCCTAAATTAACAGTTACTAAGTCCCCCGACCCTCCAAGTATACTACACTGAAAGAAAAGATCATGGGACTTAGTAATTAGGCTTATAAATACGGTAACTGAAATTAGAACTGCTTATAACGCCAATGGGTGCTTTTCCTCCTACTTACTAAGTGCCATGATCCTCCGAGTAAGGAATCATAGGGCCCAAGAAAGCACATAAACAAAAATGAGGTTAGGGATATCCCGTATAAAACCTCTTATAATAAGCCCAATAAGGTCGGGCTTTCCCTATAAAATGGTTTTGCTTATGTGCTTTGTGGGTCCCTCAAAGGAACAACATTCTTCTCCTTCGGACGTCAGAGCCGCTAGTGGCGCATTGGGAACTACTCCGGCTGTTAGGTTCTTCAACCTTGTGCGCTTCCCAGCGAATATCTGGCTGAGGGTTGGAGGTCTTACCCAGACCCCCGGGAGGATCCAAAAAGTAGATCCCTTAATTGGGGTTCCTATATGAAGTACCCCTTAGTAGCATAGGGCCCCAATTAGGGAATCTACTTTCTAGATTCTCCCGGGGGCGTGGGTAGTGCGTGACAAAGATGGAAGTGTCAGAAGATAAGAGATGCTAGCTTCAGAACCTACATGCGCGATTCTCATTCGGAGCCGTTAGCCAGGCCTGAAACCTCACCCTTCACCATATAGCAAGGCCTGAAGTGGCCCTAAACCCGCATCCCCGTCGTCGCCACCACTGACTCAAACCGGCTGAACCTTAAACCCTCCTGGAAACCTTCCCCCTAAACGTGCATCCACATGTACATGCATACATGAATGTGTACACACACACACACGCCATCAGCCACCAGTGTATATCCTACCAAAAGACACACATACTTATGTGCTACTGTATTTGTTGTAATTCCTGATGTCTCATGCGGGCGTTTGCAGGCCTCGGCCAGCGGCGTGGCAGCGCCCTTCCGTCGCTTCCACGGCCTCACGTCGAAACTGATTAATCTTGTTTGGGGCCAGGCCAAATACAGAGTTGCTCTGTTTAAATGCGTTCTTTAGGCGCTAAGTGCTTATAATGGTGCGACATATATATATATATATATATATATATATATACATACACACATGTATATATATATATATATAGATATAGATGTATGTATATACATGTATGTTCAATTAAACATGTATCACTTCATACAGACACAGGTGCATGAGCACACGTTATGGAGGCAGGCTGCTAAGGTTGTAAGTCCTGCAGTTACTTGCAAGCCTGCAACCTTTGAGTTCTAGTGGCGGCCCGTGGAACTAACCTGGACACAAGTCTATCTGGGAATCAATGTTGACACATGCATGACTTAATTCCGACACCCTCAACTGTTAACTACAAGTTCGCAAACCATTGCATAGGGAAGGCGAGCACACCAGGGAATGACTTCCATTTCATGTGTCTTTACTTGCTGTTTTCAAGGGACTTGTGAAGAGGTTAGCAAGGCTTTGTCACCAACAGCACTTGGCCATAACTTTGGAAAGACAGGATTGGACATGTTCGCCAGTACACGCTTGAGCAAATGAACGAGTAGTTCAACAAGAAGGAGTGCTGTCTTGGATTCCTGCAGTGTTCTGACGATGCGTTTTGCCGGCACGGCATGGCAATTACGACTGAGATGGTACATAACACTGTATCAGTGCTCGCTTTCGGCCGGTCTGCGCTAGTGCCAGACTGCAAGACTGCCTGAAGCCTCAGCCAAGACCAGACATCCGCACTCCAAGTGCGCGACGGCGACTTGCTCGAAGTGCCACCGGACAGCCCCTGGCCAGTACAACAGAAGGCATTCTTCCTCAATGGTTTCGTTTTATGCTGAAAGCAAGACTCGATTTGGGCTCCCCACTTCAGGGAGGTGTACTTCCTTGTCAGATATTTTTCGAGTTGCTGAATCAAGTTTTGAAGAACTTCAGTTGGACTTTTCCTGAACCTAGGTCAAGTATGGTCAACCTACAGCCAGGAAAATGGTTTGCCCTACGTAGACTATCATTTGTACTTCCTTAAGTGTTTCGAGCCATTTTCGAACCCATGCAGTAACCCACACCAAGTTTGACTGGCACCTACGTAGTCTTGCTCTGTTTGGCTGCTTGCGGTGTAATGGAGGTCTAGTTGCAGGTCCAGGGTACACGCATTAAGTTGTACGAACACTGCATGACTTGCGCCCGAAACCTGATTTCTTTACGTGTTTCAGATTCTTGGAAGATGCAGCCACAGAGTGCAGGCAATACGGCTTCAGTTAACACCCGTGTCTTCCGGATTCAGAGTTTAGAGCTTGGCAACTTTGCAAACCTTAAGTCCCAAGTGCATCAGAAACGGTCGTGAGATTCCCAACTTTGAGCGCCTCTTTAGGCTCAACTCGAAACCTACTCACACGCCAGAAGGACCAAGTTAGGGTTAAGGGTTTAGGGTTTATAGGGGTTAGGATTTAGGGTTTAGGGTTTAGGGTTAGGGGCAGCAATGAGATCCATGATCGGATCAGATGCACAGCAGGCATCTTCGCACGGTATAGTGCGATTGGTTCATAGCCATGGCCATCTTCAGCATCGTCATCATCAGCGTCGTCAACCGAAGCTCAGCAAGCAATCTGGAGTGGGAACGCTCCAGGCACAGCCACGACAAGACTCCAAACCGCACGTTCAGAAATATGATTAGTATTGTTATCATGCTTGCTATTACCAGTATTCACATTATTAGTAATAATATTATTATTATTATTGTTATTATTATTATTGTTATTATTATTAGTAGTAGTATTCTCATTGCCAGCATGTCTTGCCAGCCTCCTCCAGCAGGCAGAAGATAAGATCGCAGAAGTGCAGCCATTCCTGGCCAGTCAGGTTGAAAACCCCGGAAGGAGGCGATCGCTCATCAAAACTGATACCCCAACATGCACTTCGGAACCCCTAAACCCCTAAACCCTGAACCCTAAACCCCTAAACCCTAACCCCTAAACCCCTACACCCCTAAACCCTGAAACCTGAACCCTAAACTGCACGAACCATGACTGGGAGCCAGAAAGCACAGAGCTTTGGCACCGCCCCTCGACCCCCAAAGTCTGATGCCTTTGTTCGTGGGCTCATTTCCTCCTGCTCAGTCGGAACGCCAATGCTACGGCGGACCCTAAACTTTTAAAGCCTAAATCCTGAAACCTTAGAATCTAGAGAGCAAGTCGGGCATCCGAAACGGAACCCTCGAAGGAACCTCTTAAAGGAACCCTTAGCGGAGCCCTTCGAGGATCCTTATAGCGAATCCCTCAGGTACGCAGCTTACTACTTGCTTGTTGACGGCGGGTGCATGTTTCACAATATGTTCAATGCGCAGGCGTGTATATGCTCAGGCATGGCCCCTGCAACAGAAGACACGCACAAATCAAGAGTGAGAGAATGTACAGACTAAGCATTTTTGCAGTATGACGATGATGATGCTTCGTTCGTCCGTGAAAACATATAGGGTCCGGTCGCTGTGCACTCCCCCGTATCTTCGGGGGTTATGAGCCCAAGCAGCTCGTAACCGGATCCTGTTTGAGCCATGGCATACCAAGATGATGGCACTAACACTGCTGATCACGACGATGCGCTAGCACAAGCTATGGATGAAGAGTTCGAGGAAGCAAGAGATGGCAACACGTCTGTTTCACCTGAAGATGAGAGAAGTCAACGCCTGTTTCCGGACAGCGAGCCGCTAGATCCACCGTATGGTTTGCGAGCGACTGGGGCATCTTTAGAGTTTGGTCTGGATGCTGCAGCACTTGGGTTGCTGGATGGGGGCTCGGGTAGCTCAACAGAACAGACGGCAACAAGACACTTCAGTCCTCAGAGTGATCATGAGTTGATTCCAGCCACAGAAGAGCCACGATCAGTGGCCGCAGGCAGGATGCCTCAAGTTACGGCGCCGCCACCAGCGGTGACGAATGATCTCATGGGACAGTTGAGTGCTATGCTACAGCAGACGCTGCAGAGCCATGTGGCTCCTGCTCTAGATCGTATGATGATGAGTCAGGCTGCGGTCATGTCCCGACTGGACAGGTTGGAGAGTGAGAGAGACTCCCAAGTGCCGTTGACGGCGCAAGGTGAGCATGTATTGGCCATGCTTCAGTCGTTGGAGGTGGGCTCCAAGCCAAGTGCTAGTGGGGCTAATGCAGATGCAGCGTTGAAGCAACCCACTACCGTTCCAGCGGGTGTTTTGCCTGAGTCAGCGGTTGGGGTTCAGGATACTCGTTTGCATCATGCGCGGGATTTGGCATCCAAGGGCAATGGTTCCGCTCACGTTGAGGCCCCAACGCATCAAAACAAGGGTGTGACGGTGGTGGAGGGTATCTCTTACGACTGGCAGATGACGCCGGATGGTCTTAAACTCACGCGTGTGCAAGAGAGAGAGAGGGGCAGAGAGAGTGGCAGTTGCACAGTCAGCCAGGTGCTTGATCAAAGGTCGATGTCTCCATTTCAGGCTACGTCCGTACATCATGAGGTCGTTACTCCTAACATTCGGAGGGTACACACCACTAGCCCGCCCAGGAGTAGAAGCACCCCAAAGCAAAGGAACACCCCAGCTGTACGAGCCGAAATCAGTGCTGAAAAGGATCGGGGTTGTAAGGGAGTTTCTACTCCAGGTAACGATCAGGCTGTAGGCAGACTGCCGTATCCGATATCGCCAGGTGGTACAGTGATTAGGCCACCACCCCCGCCACAGCATCAGACACAGGATCATTGGACAGGCAGTTGGGAGACACTTGGACCTAAGGCATGGGGGGCTTACCCACCTCCCCCACCCATCCCTGCTGCGTTGAGGACCACGGGTAGTACAGGACAGCAAGCAAGCATGGGTTGGGGTGGTTTCGGGTTGGGGAGCTCAGGCGGTGAGGCTTCAGGGATCAGGGGTTTCGGATTGGATCCCTCGCCGGGAATCGGCGAGAAGCCGGAGGAGCCTACCAAAACCTCGCTGGAGCTTCCTAAATTGGACAAGTACAACCCATCCACATCAGCCATCGTAGCAGGGGATTGGCTTATCTCGTTGACGCCAGTGATTACTTCGCTGTCCGCTTCTGCTTGGGTGTTTTGGGAGGATTGTGTAAGCACGGCCAAGCTGTTCTATGGCCGATGGTTATCCTCTTCCCCACTGGAGAGACTACATATCCAGGCGGAGGTCTTGGTAAACAGGTACCGCGATGGAAAGTTCTCGAGGGTTGATCAACGGGCGGTCAGTTTGTTGTTGGCTGCAGTGGGTAATGAGCTGAAGGATGATCTGATCTCTCTTCGCTTGCTGGGTACATGCGCTATTGTGTTCAAGGTTATGGCGAAATATCAACCGGGAGGAGCTGCAGAGAAACAGCAACTTCTGTCGTTTCTAGTCACCCCTGAAAACGTCACCACAAGCGCTGCATCAGTTAAAGCACTGCGGAAATGGCGTCGTTGGTTAGCCCGTGCTCGTGAACTCCAGGTAATCGTTCCTGACCCTAGCCTTCAGCTCAAGGGTCTTGAAAGGCTCGCCCCGACATTGTCCGATACAGCAGCCTTCCGAGTACAAACCTTCCGAACGCAGGCTCTGCTCGACCAGGCTCCAACTCAACAGACGGTTTTGCAGTTTTCAGAGCTCCTGCTTGCAGAGGCCGAGGAGGCGGTGTTGTCAGAAGCTGCAGACAAGGGTGGAGCGAGGCAGACGGTAGCTAAGGCGGATGAGGTGCCAGGAAAGGGAGGAAAGGTTGGGAAGGAAGGAAAGGGTGCATCAAAGGGGGCTGCCAAGGTGGATGGTGGAAAGCAACTTTGTCGGCTCTGGAGAACCGATGACGGGTGTAGGTATGGGAAGTCTTGTACGTTTGCGCATGATGCCCTCACCCCTGCCGATAAGAGGTGTTTCAACTGCAGTAGCACAAAGCACCGAAAGCCAGATTGTCCGTTCCCGCGTGCGCAAGCCGAGCCCGGTGGGAAGCCAGGGAAAGGTAGCCAAAAGGGGAAATCAGGGGATGAGGTTATGAAGGCTCAGGATAAGGGGGCTAGTGAAACCGACAAGTCGGCTCGTGACGAGCTGATTGCACGGGCCAACGCAGTGTTGGAATCTATCCAAACCTCAATCAAGGCCTTGCAGCTAGGTTCGAAATACCCGCCGAAGCCAGGTCCCCGCGATGAAACAGGTCTGATAGACTCCGGTGCCACAACATGCATGCGCATGCGTAGGGAAGATGAGCAGCCAGTTGGAGAGAAGACGGTTTCGCTCGCGCAGGGAGAAGTTCAGATGGGATTCAGTGCCGGGGGAGTTTTACTTGCTAACGAAGAAGTTGAACCCATCGTTTCACTCCGACAGCTCATCACCATCGGCTTTCGTCTGGTTTGGTCCAAGAGGGCATGTCAACTGTTCGATGAAGAGGGTTACTCGGTTCCTTTGTCCACGGCTTCCGGCTGTCCGAGGGTGTGTAAGGCTGTAGCGCAAAACCTGATTGACCGCATCGAAACTTTCAACCTTCACGGGTATGGTGAAGATCAGCTTGCTATGATGCGTGATGCTGATGCGGTGTCCTGGGAGGCAGTCATGTGTAAAGTAGCCGAGAGTGTGAGAGAAGGTAGGTCAAGGGATGCTAAAATGTGGCATGAGATTTTATGTGAGAAGCTCTTTCCGGAATTCCCACGAGAGGCTGCCCAAGCAGTGTCTTTGATCTCACAGGGGTCTGGGCCCCCACCTTGAGGACGTGTTGGACCTTAAAGCGCCCCCACCCTTCCCAAACAGACCTTAAACATGAGTCTTCAAAGCTTTAAGGCACATTTGGACTTTTTAAGGTCCATTTGGGCGTTGTTCAGCAACATGGCAAAACCAGGATGAAGAGCATCATTGAGCATTGGTTTGAGCATTCGAGCCAAGAAAATAGGCCAAGTATCATGAAGCATCGGCATGAGCCATACATCGAGCAAAGAACAAACCAACAAATAGCAACATACTTATGCACATGTTTTTCATACGGAAGCATCCCGTGCAGCACAGAACAAACAAAAAACATCCCTTTGACCCAGAGAGCCAAGCAAGCAACCCAAATGAGGGTTTAGGGATGTTTACGGCAATGGCTATTTACACTAAGTATAACCCCTGATCAGGAATTACTTATGCAGGTTGCTTCTTCTGATCGTTAGAAAATCGTATGACGACACTGCAGTACTGGTCGGGTTTTGTTTCCAAGATACACATGCACACATCTACATATATACACATATAACCAAACATCTACACATACAGTACATACACTGTTTACACACACTTGTTCCGATCACTGTTACAACACATACCTGTATTTACATATATGTGTGTGGTGTGTATGTATGCATGCACGTATGCACGCACCTACCTATGTAGGTAGGTATGTACGTATGTATGTTGCAAGAGAAAAACATCATGCAGCAACATCGCGTTGAGCCGTTGGGCCAACAAAACAACATAAGTTTGATCCAGCTGAGCCAACAAAAGCAACTGTTAAGTCGACAAACGCATAATATGGGGGGATAAAGGCGGTTGGGGGTCGTGGGTTGCCCTCTGTTATAATCCTTGATGAGTTAGCTACTGTAGGGTTACGGAGATGTTTGGTCAAGCAGGCTGTTCATTTTCTGAGGTTTAGGGTAGATGGGGATACAGACACCAATTTATGGAATGCTCTCTTGGCGTTATAAGATATAATGCTCTGCATGCAGCCTGTATTGTTTGAACTTGGGGTGAGTGAAGACTTCTGCAAGGAAAATATATAGGGGCCCACCTTGGCCTTTTAAGCTATGGTTCTGCAACTCTACAGGTATCAACGGGATATCCGGTAGGTTGTTCCGCAGGTAGCTTACTGTCTGAAACAAGTATCTCGGAGCACGGAAACCATGTTTAGTCCGAAAAGCTTTTGCTTCTGAAGCTTACAAATTTCTGTTTGCCAAGATGTCCAATGAATTTTCCAATGAATGTTGAATCATTTCAGCTTGTGCAATGCTAATAATTTTGAAACATTGATCCTCTCAACGTTCCCACCATTAAATACCAGAAACTAAGGTCCCATGCCCTCATCAGCTTCATTTCAAGCAGTTTTGTCTGAAAATGCGCTAAGACAAAGCTAGGACAAGTATTTTTGGGGGCTTCGGCTTTTAAAGCTGTTGGTATTCTTGGATAAGTGATAGGAGGGTTTGGCGATTCAAAGCTTTAATTGGCCAATTCGAACCAATTTTTGTCTGCGCTGCTGGCTTGAGGCAGTGATCCATGTCAGACTTCGATGGTTGTATCAATCACATCGCAGGAAATGGCGTCGACAGTGCTATGAGGTGTAAAAAAGCCTCCAAACCACGTGCAACCTTCAATCGTGAAACAGGACCCTTGAAATAATCCACCTGCTTTTCCAGCCTTGAAATTCGTCGATCCTGTGAGTAGACTGGGAGTCGTCCTTAAAACGTGTTTCCGTGTATTTCATGATGCAAAAATGTTGTGAATGCAGCATTCACACTTTTCACGGTGTTTATGGTCCATTTGGGGTTGTTTTAAGGTCCTTTTCACGCTTTTTCACGCGGGCAGTCCGCGTGAGCCGAGACGCGCTGAGTTTTCTGCTCCAAAAACATTGCTGAGCAAATTTGCGTAGCAGGGCACACGCAGAGCGTGAAATTTCACGGCACGCGCCGTGAAATCGTGAAATTCAGAACTGTCTGGCAACACATAAAAAAAAAGCAGCCCCGTGAAATTCTATGACACATGACAACCGTGAATTCACACATGGCAAGTTGGAAAACGATCATTTTGTGGCACTGTCTTAAGGATTTTACTGGCCGTTTTCATGTTTTTCACGTGGGCAGTCCGCGTGCAACTTGTGAACTGCAGGCACACACCCAAGATGCTAAGTTTTTCTGAACAAACAGCATCGAACAAATTTACTTCGAGATGCCAGCTATAGCAGCTATGAAGCCACAGGCAGGGCGTGCAAATACACGGAACCCACCGTGAAAAAAAGTGCCAAATCGTGAAACTCGGCCAAGACTGCCCCGTGAAAAACGTGATTTCACGCGTTGCCGGTTGGAGAGCTACAAGCGCACGATCCATTATTTGGGGATTTTGAGGTCCTCTGCACGTTTTGGCCGGGCGGCCGGTCTGCGTGAAACTTGTGAATTTTCTGCTCACCACCAATATTGAAAAATGTTAAGATTTCTGCTGCAAAGGATTGAGAAGAGTTCCTTATGATAGAGATGCCAGCACTGAAGCACACAAGCAGCGCTTGAAAATTCACAGCATGCGCCGTGAACAAGCGTGCCAACATGTGAAACTCAGAACTGTCTAGTTTTCAACATAAAGACGGTGATTCGTGAAATTCTGTGGACTTGGTTTTATAGGTTGCAGGGCAACTAGTCTAGGTTTGCGCTTGTGCCTTCCATTCCAAGGTCTGGCGCATACACACACTTCAACACATCTATAAAGCACTGCGAGCTCAACATCGCTCATCAAGAGCAACAACAAGATGAACACGAGTACTTCCAAGAACTGCTGCGGAAAAATGAACTAATGCATCGAGAACGAAACTGCTAGTACAGCTGCTGCTGTTGCTGCTGCTGCTGCTCCTCCTCCTACTACTACTACTGCTGCTGCTGCTGCTGCCGCTGCTGCTGCTACTAGTGCGACCAGTATACTATTACTACGACGACGACTATACTACTACTACTACTGCTAGTACTAGTGTTAATGCTAGTGCTAGTCCTAGTCCTCGTCCTAGTCCGAGTCGTCCTAGTCTTAGTCCTAGTCCCACTGCTACTCCTACTCCTACTCCCACTCCTACTCCTCCTACTACTACTACTACTACTGCTACTACTACTAGTGCTATACTGCTACTACTACGACTGCTACGACGACGACTACTACTATGTGCCCGAGACCAAAAGCCAAGTGTTCTCCTGTTTGCGTTACCAGTACTATGCACAACTCACCAAAAATCGACACATATAGCTATAGAGCTCAGGAAAACGCATAGGTCGGGGTTTCCGCCGGGCAGAAAGTAAGCTGTTGTGTGATGCTGCAGGGGGTTGGGGTTTACGGTTTTAGTGGACCTGTTGTGATTTTCGACATTTGCGCAGGACCAACAACACACGATCACAATTCTGTTCGAAACCCATTTACAGCGTGCAACCTTCCAGACGTGCTTGTTTTTAAGGTCCATTTGAAATGGGCCTTAAAATAAGGCACATTTCTAAACGCACACGTACCTTATTTTAAGGCTCATGTCGTCCTCAAGGCAGGTGCCTTCAATCGTAGGAGGCGCAGGGCAGCAGAGCGTTCCAAGGGTATAGTTCTGCATCTTTTCTGTGGAAGATCGAGGCATGAGTTTGACGCTGTAGCCGCGAAGCATGGGGCTAAGGTTGTAGCCATAGACTCCACTGAAGACCTTAACGATCCGGCTACGTACACTTACTTGCTGAAGCAGGCGCTCGCTGGTAAGGTTGTTGCGGTGCTTTCAGGTCTTCCGGATAGGACTCGCTCAGCCCTTGGAGGTAAGGATGAAGGACCACCAGTGGTTCGGGCGCGGTATGGGGTTGAAAGGTTTGGATTGGAGAACCTCTCCCATCAAGAGCGTGAGAAGGTTGACTATGACGACCAGCTCATGCTCAGAAGCTTTATTCTGGGTGTTGCCTCAAAGTGGGGTCGGGATCAGATCCAAGTCGGACGAATGGCGGGTTTCCCGTATCTCCTGGAGAACCCAAGGGACCCTTGGGAAGTTTTTGGGGGTAGCCACGAGCAGGCTCCTTCGTTGTGGGTAACGCCAGAGTTTGATACATTGCGGAAGACACTGGGGCTACAGCTTCTGAGGCTTGATCAAGGCCCCCTGGGGCACATGTGTAGAAGGCCTACCACAGTAGCATGTCTCGAACGGTTATGGCCGAACTGGGCTATGAACATCCGAGGTCCGGGACACAACCGGGATACATCGGGGTGTAGTGCAGATCAGGCACGCTGGTCTCCAGGGTTAGTTCAAGCAGTAGAAGAGTACCTGGATGCTGCTCTTCAACAGGGGCCCACCGTAGAAGGTATGCGGAGGCTTCAGGTACAGCAATCCATGAAGGACCACGTGTTAGCTGGACATGTCCCCTACCGTAAGGACTGCTATGCGTGTGTAGCGGGAAGAGCGAAGAAACAGAATCATTACAGACAGACGGTGAGCGATTCGTTTGTGCTGTCGGTTGATCTCGCAGGACCTTTTAAGCGCGGTACTCATGAGGGTGCGAAGGCAAGCTACTTCCTTGCGGCAGTTTTCTCCGTACCTAGGGCGCCAGAGCTAAACGGGTCTAGAGTGGATAAGCCTGAGGCAGATGTAGCAGCTGTTCCGGGGGAGCCAGGGGAGTGGGAGAATGCGGATGACGACGATCGTGATGACGATGATGGTGGAGGCGTGGGCCCTATTGAGCTTGATGACGCCCCGGTGGAGCCAGAGCCACAACCGCTAGAACAGCTAGAGCTAGTTCACTTGCCGTTCGTCGTACCGCTACCCTCAAAAGGGGCAAGGGACGTGATGAATGGAATCAAGGGCATTGAGGCCAGGCTGTGTGCGATGGGGTGCCATGTAGCACGGTTACATAGTGATGCAGGTAAAGAGTTCTGCAATAACATGTTGCGAACATGGGCCAAAGAGAGAGGAATGCACAAAACAAACACAGGAGGTGACCGGTTCAAGGCCAATCCTTTTGCCGAGAACCTCATCGGCATCCTGAAGGGGTGTGCTAGGACCTTGATGAACGAGTCTGATGTTAGTGATCAAGATTGGCCCTATGCTATCCGTCATGCATGCGCTCAGCGATTCCGCGATCAGGCTGTCAAGCTTGGGTGGGACATTCCGCGGTTGATTCCTTTTGGGGCTAAGGTTCACGTGCTTCAAAGAAGTTGGAATTTGGCAAGGGGGGGCGATTGGAAGTCGAGAGTGGTTGAGGCTAAGGTGTTGGCACCTGCGCGTGAGCTTTCGGCAGGGTATCTTGTGCGCACTGTAGAGGACACATTACTGAACGTACCATGCGTGTATGAAGACCTTGTGCATACAAACCCTGAAGAGTTTCACATCCCCGCCGAGAAAGCAAAGCCAGCTAGTCCAGCAGTGATCCCAGATGTTCGTGTTCGCAGAAAGACGTCGTTGAGCGCTCGGAGGGCAGAGAAACCGGCTGCTGATGAATCTGTTGCTATGCTTGATGGGCTGTTGTCTGAGGATGAGCACGCGTCATGTCTAGCCTCGATCCGTTCGATGTCGAGAGGTCTCGAAGGTTCGTGTTAGGGTCGCGCTGGATTCGGGATTCTTCAGGACGGCTTGGGGCGAGGTTTCGTGAAAATGCTGGGTCCGCTAGGGTCCTAGGATTTTATTGTCATGGTGCCATTGTTGGGTTGACCAAAGATTGCTTATCCTTCCCAGGGTTTACCAAACTACTCAACCGTCTTGTGCAGCATGCGATACCTGGACATGTGTGTACCACACTTGCGATCCTCAGTCAGACCACGGCAAAGCCGCACAAAGACAAGTTCAACCAACCGACCTCCAACGCTGTCATACCCCTTGAGGTTCCCAATAAGGGGGAGGGATTTGGGTGCAGGATGAAAGCGGGGCTGATCGGAGGTGGGTCACGCCCAAGCAACAAGCACCAGGCACTGTTCATGACCTCACTCCCCTATGTCCCTTCCTTTTGAACCCTCACAAGTGGCATGCTACAGAAGACTGGAGTGAAGGGTCACGCATTTTGCTGGTAGCTTACAGCTTGAAGGGTCTTGAGAGAGTCACTGAGCAGCAGCTTCAGCGGTTGCGTGATGTCGGATTCCAGCTGACTGCTGGCGATTGCCAGCAGGGGGGAGACCTAGAGCAACGCATTGAAGAAAACGTTTTCAAAGCCCCAGAGCAGGTTCTCCAAGGATCCGATGAAACAGCTTCAGAGTGTCATGATGTTTGCGCTCCGAGGGTGAGGGATCTTCAGAAAGAAGAGATGCGATCAGGGCTAACGCTTGTCCAACGGCGAAGGCTCACAAATCAGCTGAAAGCCGGTGATATTGTTGATGTCCCAGCTATGTATGCTAGATACGGTGATGAGGAAGGGTCTTTCTCGAGTTTGGTGCGGAATCAGAATGCTCCGGATCCCTACCCATGGTTAGACCCAGCGAATGCAGGGAAGTTCGCTGCTGCGGGTGAAAGTCGTCGGCGAGATGAGGGTCGTAGTGATGCTCAGTGTCGAGATGAGGGTCGTAGTGATGCTCAGTGTTGTGATGAGGGTCGTGGTGAGACTCCATGTCGTGATGAGGGTCGTAGTGATGCTCAGTGTTGTAATGAGGGTCGTGGTGACACTCCATGTCGTGATGAGGGTCGTGGTGAGACTCAGTGTCGTGAGGAGGGTCGTGGTGATTCTCCGTGTTTTGATGGCCGTCGTGGTGACTCTTCGTGTGATCGTGATGACACCAGAGAGACAGAGGTTGAAAGCCAGGGCATCTTGAAGGGTGTAGGAAAGTTGAAACAGAAGTGTGTGCATTGGGCGCCAGGTCTCGTTGAGGGTCCAGTGGTTTCGAGTGGTACAAGTGGGTTTTCCGGTAGGTCCTTCAGGTGCAAGGCGTGTGAAAGTGATGTAGCTGGACTTTGCTCAATCTGTGAAAGACATGTTGTTGAGTATGCAGAGAGCGATTTAAAGGCTTCGCCTTCCCTTGGCCAGCCAGGCAGCGCTGGGTGGGAGGATGTGAGCTGTGACCCACTTGGGATGGGTGCGCGGGTGGGGCATAAGGGTGGTCTAAACGCTCTGAATGCCGATTTTTCCGAGGATTGCGAGTTTGTGGACGTGTCCGTGACGAGTAATCTTCTGTTTTGTGAGCCTACTTGTGTCGAGTGGGAGAGCATTGTAGGTCGAGCTTCGGATCGTGAGGTTGGACCTGATGATCATGATAGCTCGGGTGAAACTTGGGTTGGGGTCGGTGAGGCCTCTGAGTCTTTTGACCCTGATGGGCAGCAGATCGCCCTCAAGGCGTTGCTGAGTCGGGAGTGTAAGCTCCAAGATCGGAGTGGGGTAGCCGGGGATAGTGACCGTGAGGGTTATATTCATGGGCTGTCTTCCACGATCAAGCGTTTAGAAGAGAGGTGTTGCAAGGCCGATGACGGTGTCGAGTATTCCACGCTCCCCGATGCGGAAGTGCTAACTACTCACACTGTTCCGTTGGAAGAAGTTGAGAGGCATTACAGTTTGTGGTCCGCGGCAGTCCAGGCAGAACTTGATTCGTTGGTTCATGAAAAGCAGGCGGTAAGGGTGATCACCAGCGCTGAAATGCAAGCAATGCAAGAAAAGGGAACATGCGTGACCATTATTCCTAGCAAGATGGTGTTTACCCGAAAGGCTGGTGGGCGCCATAAGGCACGGTTGGTAGCCTGTGGAAATCATCTAGATGGGCAGGGCCAGGCTAAGGGTAAGCAGTCACCATCCAAGGCGAACCTGTATGCTGGAGGAATCGACCCTTCAGTGATGCGCCAAGCGGCATCGATTGCGGTTAAGAGAGCCTGGAAGGGGGGAGCTACAGATATCACTACAGCGTTTTTGAACGCCGAGCTGCTTGATCGAGTGAATCCTCGTTCCTCCCCGCCTCCTTTGTCCTTGGATGTCCCAACTGAGGTGATTGTATTGAAGATTCCGAGCATTGTGCATAGACATGGACATGTTGATCGATCATGCTTCATGCTGGTGTGTAAGGCACTGTATGGGTTGGATCAATCCCCAAGAGACTGGTCTATCAAGAGGGACAGTGAGATTGAGGGCATGTCATGCCAAGTCGATGGGGTCACATGCATGTTTGAGCAGAGTTTGGTCGACTCTAATTTGTGGTACCTTCGGAGAGTGCCTAAAGATGGAGAGAGCCACAGTTGGAGAGAGCCTGTTGCATGCATGTTGGTGTATGTCGATGATCTCTTAGCCTTTGGTCCCAGTCCAGTCTTGACGATGATATTCGAGCTGATCACTTCGCGCTGGAAGTGCGGACCGGTAGAGTGGATCCCCGAGGACCCCACTAAACCCCCACTCAAGTTCTTTGGTTTTGAGCTGCGCTGGGATGGTAAGGATCTGTTGCTTGGCCAACAAGACTTCATTCGGGATGTGGCGACTAGGTACCCCGAGGCAACTGCCTCGTGCGTTCCTGCTACCCCGGGACCCTTGGATGTAGAGGATGCTTCCGAGCGTAGGCCCGAAGATGTTTCTGCTTGCCAAACGGCGCTGGGCGAAATCTTATGGGTTGCAGGGCGCACTCGGCCAGACATTATTTTCGCTGTTTCCCGCCTTGCACAGACCATGTCAAGGGACCCCGCTACGGTGAGAAAGAGAGTCATGCAGCTCATTGGTTACCTTGTCTACACGCAGGACCTTTGCCTCCGATATCGGGCTACGTATTCTTGTCAGGGTGAACCAGGCGCTACTGCCACCCCGAACGCTGAAGGTGTGATCGAGGCCATGACAGACAGTGCATTCGCGCCTGTATGTGAGCGATCGCAAGAGTCAACTTTGGTTTACACTCAAGGGTCTCTGACGGGGTGGAACACTGGTAGACAACCGTTCACTGCTGCGTCGACCGCGGAGTCAGAACTCTTGAGTTTGATGACCGGATTCAGCTTCGGTAGGGCCCAAACTTACGTCCTTCAGGAGTTTATGGGTAAGGTGCCACGGTTGGTCGTGTTGAACGACAACATGGCTTCAATCTCTATTGTAAATGGCGACTCCAACGGGTGGAGAAGTAGGCACCTGAGAATTCGAGCACATGTGCTGAGAGAACAGGCCAAGCAAGGACATGTCGTCGTGGGGCACATAGAGGGGGCGAAAAACATCGCCGATGCAGGAACCAAGGCCTTGCCGTATCCTCGTTTGAAGCTCTTGCGGGACGGTATGGGTTTAGATGCAGTTAGGAATGTTCATGATGCGCGCCCAAAAGGAGCTACGAAGGTCATTGATCCAGCTTCCGCAGCCAAGATTCAGGCCGTTGTGCTTACATTGGCAGCCGTCACGGCAGAGGCTCAGCAATCGCCAGATGAACCAGAAGGTCACAGCCATGAGCTATGGTTTTTGATGTTTCTGGTATGCTGTACGTCTATTGCTCTTTGGGAAGGTCTGAAGTGGGCATGTCGTTGGTGTTGTAGGCGACGCAGAGTACAGAGGAGAGAGGTTGAGCGACATGAACCAGAAGAGGAGCATAGCTCAGACGGGGAAAATCAGCCTGATGATGAGGACGAACTTCAGGAGTTCTCGCCTCAGGCAGCGGACAGAGTAGAGGACAATGATGTAGCTCGTGAGCTTACTGTGCCTCTTGAGGGGACGGTCGTTCGTTACGTTGACGATGTGATGTATGTTGGCCCCCCTCCAGAAGAAGAAGAAGAGAGGTTGAGAAGAAGAAGACAGGGACAGAGAGTCTACCATGATGAGCCGGACTTTGAGCCAGCTGCTGTTGAAGCCTCCGGCCTACCGCCTTGGAATGTTCAAAACCGGGTTCGTCAGGCTCTTGAGGCTCAACGAGACGCGAGGGGTTCGAATGAAGGCCCAAACTGGATGCCAAATCAGTTTGTGAATTACCCGGTCATTCGGCTGCGTGCCGATTGGCCTGCATCAGAAAACCAACCTCCACTGGCATACTTGGCTGCTTACCAGTCCGCTTGGGGTGGGTTAGCTTCAGCGCTGCATCAGCTGCGGCCCAATGATGCTTACACGCGGGACGAGTACACAAGGCATGACGCGAGACAGAATGTGTTGATTCGTTGGCACTTCGGATGGCGTGTTATGCTGTTTGATCCCAATCGCACTACAAGTCCGGTTGCTATGAGCAGACTCACAGGAAGGAGACGTACGGTGATCACATACAGTGATGGTACAGAGGAGCTGCTGGACGACAATTTCCGGATTGACAGTGCGAGAAGGATGATGGATCAACAGTGGGTACGAAGAACCGAGCTCGAGATCCGCGAGGGGACATGAGCAGCGCAGTGGAGGAATGGCATATGAACCGTTTTTGAAGCTAGAGAGCTTGCTCCAAGCTTTGCGGTCAGAAGGAATGCACCATGTACAGACACCGTCGAAGGGATGAAATTTTCATCCGGGGGAGAGCGAATCCCTCAGGTACGCAGCTTACTACTTGCTTGTTGACGGCGGGTGCATGTTTCACAATATGTTCAATGCGCAGGCGTGTATATGCTCAGGCATGGCCCCTGCAACAGAAGACACGCACAAATCAAGAGTGAGAGAATGTACAGACTAAGCATTTTTGCAGTATGACGATGATGATGCTTCGTTCGTCCGTGAAAACATATAGGGTCCGGTCGCTGTGCACTCCCCCGTATCTTCGGGCTTATAATGGAACCCTTACAGAAACCCTAAGGGTTCCTTTAGGGGTTTTGTTGTTTAGGGTTTAGGGTTTAGGGTTTAGGGTTTAGGGGTTTTCTCATCAACCCATCATAGCAAACCCTAAACCCTAAGCAGGAAACCTTAGAGGTTTTGGGGTTCTCTGCGTCCTCTGCATCCTCATCACAGGGCATCCGACGGCCGGCGCCCGTTTGCACGCACCAAACCTCCATAGGCGACTAGAAGGTTTAGAGGGGTGTTTAGGGATTATAGGCTTTGGATTTCGGATTTAGGGTTCAGGGTTTGGGAAGGAGGGTTCGGGGTTTAGGGTTTAAGACTCCGGATTTAGTTTAGGATTTAGGACACAGTGTTCAGGGTTTTGGGATTTTTGGGGTTTGCGGTTTACGGTTTACATTGTAAAGAGTACTAGCCTTTGTACGTGCAGGATAATGTCGACCATAGATGTAGTAACAATGTCGAACCTCTAACGATCATCCTGTCCTATGGTTAGGATCCAAAAATGAGACACTAAGGTATCCAAACACAGTACTACAGTACGCGGTCTAGGTAGTGCACAACCCCCCCCCCCATATAATGGGCAAAGCCCCCAGACGTATTTTATCAACACGAAGTTTAATGTTTAGGCCCTTAAGGTGAGGGGTTTCGGTCGACATTAACAGCGAGGCAGTTGAAAGTGCGGGCCACAGAAGTTTCTTACCGCTTGTGTTGTTAAGGTTTTGCATGCCTCTATATAGGATGATGTATAGGAGAGGGTGCGTGGGTAGCTACAGGTGCGTCTCTAGATGTCTGATCTGGCTCATTAATTATCTGAAGCTACACTTTACTCAGTTCCAACACTGCAAGTAGCAAGAAGCTTCAACTAGTTACAGGTTGTTTTACACAGCTGGGATTGTGATCACTTGGCAGATTCTGTCATCGGCTCAGACATGCCGCTCGGCCGGAGTCATGGGACTCATCGATACATACCGGTAGGCTCATACATACCCCAGCCCCTTTTTAGTGTATCTACTTTTCTGCACAACAAGTCTCAGCCATAAAACTAGGTATCCGAAAAAGGGGTTGGGTATGAGCCTCTAGGTAACAACAAGATATTGCTTCAGAATACTGCTGCAGTTGCGATGCTTGTGGTCGAGTGTCGTTTCCAGTTTTGGTGGTTGTGCATGCTGTGGTGGTCTATAGGAGCGCTGCAGCTTCTATAAATCACATCTGGACATTCAATAGGCCCTAAACCCTAAATTTGAGCTGTATGGCTTGAGGCGTGTAAGGAAGCCTAGGCCCAATGTCAACATGTGCACCTGCACATCACAAGTGATCGTCTCCACCAGTTCTTTGCTGGGGCAGAAGGTGGCGAGGGACATCAGCAAACCTGGCATTCAGGCCCACCATGTCTCTAATATGGGGGGGGCCTTAATAAGCGGAGATAGGGTTTTGGTTGACATGAAACAACAGTTAGAAAGAAGGATCCTTAACGCCTTAATGAACACTGTGGCTAATTTTGCGGTGTTCTCTAATTTTCTCTAAAATTTCAATGACGGAAGTCCTGATGAATTCGGTCGTTGGCTGCAACAGGAGCTCATTTGGATGGAAGCCTCAGGTCGGCTAGTGGCTCTCCTTCCAGCATACAGGAATCGGGTGCCACCACCTCTCTAAGGAAGCCCTTTTTAAATAAGTCATAAGAACCCTAAACCCTAATTACCAAGTCAATCACCAAGATGTGACCCCCCTTCAGGAAGAATCTCAGCAGTCGAAGAACGACAGTGGTTCGTAGCCCTGAGATTCTAAGTACTTTTACAGCCCACCCTACCGAGTGCCATTTAAAGCACCACAAATCCTCGCCGGCCGCATGTGGATTAACATAGGGAGCTTTATAAATAGAATAGTGTTTCGGGGCCCATTATACGATACCTTATAATAAGGACCCCCTCAAAAAGAAGTAGTGGTAACCATTTAGGCTGCTATAGTACCCTGGCCCCGTGTCACCTGCAAGTCTCGGGCACTTTGGCTCCAAGGGCAGCTCGCAGCGAAACATGCTGCCATCCTCCGGGTGATAAGGAAACGGGTCGGTTTAAGGTAGAAGCCAGAAAGTTGGAATATCATTATCGTAACCCCTTTAAGGTAAATTATAGGGGATCCTACCATTAATCCATATTCCAACTTTCTGGAGTTCCCTTTAGGGTTTAGGGAAGAAGTGTCAAAGTGAGGTACTCCAAGGCCCAGATAAGGAAACGGGTGGCACTCGGGCTGAAATGGGCAAGTGTACTTAAAGGACCATGGGACTTATAAGTAAGTAGGGTTATAAGTACCTTAATTGGGGTTATAAGCAATTATAACTGTAGGTACCTTACTTATAACCCCCAGTTACGGAGACTAATGATCCTTTATGTAGGGTACCACGAAAAAGACAAGGGATCTACTGGGGTACATGAAACGGGATGGGGGGGGGGGGGTAAACTAAGCGGCGCTGTACTGGCAACGAACATACAACAATGATCGAGGCTGATGCGGCCATGGGGCCAATATACCCGATTCAGGATGGAAGTTTTCGTATCGGAAAAAGGGTGTGTTTACGTGTGTGTGTGTGTCTATATCTATCTTTAATTTAAATGTATATACAGTTACTATCAGTATATCAAGAATCAAGATATATCAAAATACAACATGGCGTTGTGCGTAAGATTTTAACGACTAGGCAGGATTAGGTCAAGCCAGGTCTAGCGTGAATCGAAGCTCCGGGCAGTGTCAAGCCTGTAGGTGCCGGATTGCTTACGGCTTAGGACTTCAGGGCTTTGAATCTTGCATCATACTTGCAGCTTAAACCTTATATCCTGAACCCTCAACCCCACACTGTAACATCAAACACTCTCCAAAAAAAGGAGTCTGGCGCTAGCCTGCGATTGTTCCCGCAGTTTCTTGAACTCGGAGTACAGTCTCATGAGGATCGTTCGTGGAAGCTCCGCTCCGCACTGAATAGCAGATGGCAACCCTCGTCTGTTGGCGATTAAAGTATGCGAGCCCTTAAGCCTTAAGACCAAACGCAGCAGTTCGGGATTCGCTGGTGCTAGGTGTGGTTAGGGCTCAGGCATGTGTACCAAGAGAGAATTTGTACTCTGAGGCTTACTTGTAACCCTTGGAATATCAGGGGTTTAATAGTGTTAGATAGTGTTAGTAGCAACAGACCTCCTCTAATCTAATGGTGTTCATCAGCTACGACTTCTGACTCGGAGCTGGGTGGCGAGAACTCAGGATAGCGCTGTCTCGTGCTTGGAGGGTGGAAGTTGAAGCTATACATGGCCGAGGCTGCGGAATGTGGGTCTTGGGGCTTTGTATGCTGCAGGTTTTGAAACGATTCTGTGTGCACGGTCTAGACCCCCGGCCCTAGACAGCACCAACAGTGAGGAGGCGGTCCTCGCAAAGGAGTGTAAATCGATTGGCAATGGCATCCATGATGCAGGCCTGAAAAGGTCTTAAGATTCAGGAACCTAAAACACTCTGGTTGCAGGGTTTGGGGTTGTTCCATCAACCAAACCCGAAACCCTTTCCGCAAAGAGCTGGCGTGGTGGCGCATGCCAATGAAGCGGCTCCACAGCCAGCCGACCTGCAACCTCCAGACGTGCGGCGACACGACCACGTCTTCCGCCGTCAAAGAGCCCAGCTTGTTCCCGCAGTTGGTGGAGCCCTGCTGGTAGAATGTTTCATGTCAGCTCAAGCGCGGTATCGCTGCTGACACATGGAAAGTTTGGACTTGATTGAGCGAACCGCCGTGTCCCTTTGCCGCCAAATCGCTGGACTCCGACATGAATACGGACACCGGCTTTGCCGTTTCTGCGGATCATCACCACCTTCGCCTTGGCTTTGCTCCTCAATCGGATCCACGTAGCAAAATGCCACCTGCTCATCCCTGGGCCTCAGAAATTAGGTTTGCGGTGCTAGAGGTTGCTCCACTGAGCTTTGAAGTAACCAGGGCGAAAAATAGTATAGACTTCGTGTTTTTCATAATTGGTTCCCTTTAAGTACCAGGTCCGAAAAAAGTATTAAAGTATGGTACTCCCAAGCCCAGTCCATCAACGAAACCCTCAACCTGAAACCCTAAAGCCTGCATCCTCGACTCGATACCCTGAGCTCTAAACCCTCAACTTCCCAAGTCCTCGAAGTGAACATATGTACCATAGGTGCCTAAATTGCAAAAGTCTATTTTGGGGTTCCGCATTATATTTATGGTGTAATATGCCCCCCAAAAAATCTATTCAAATCATGTGGGCTGCTTTCTTGTCTACTTGTCACGCATCATGGGGAACTACAGGTTAACCTTTCTGGCTATAGGGCTTATATAGGGACTATACTACCCAAAAAAGGTTAAAGGTTGCCTACTCTACTACTAGGCTTAGCGTCGGATTCATGGCCGGCAAGACGCTGTCAACAACTTTGGCCTGGCTTCGGTTCACTCCTCGCCTCTCCGAGTCGGGTTGCAGGCTCGCGGCTGGCAACAGTGGCTGTGATAGGTTGTTGTATCCGCCAAACTGACTTCCCAAAAAACCCAGGGCTTAAAAGTTCAAACTTTCAGAATAAGACTACCTAGAAGAGCCCAAAAGTCGAAAAGTTGGGTTTTGGACTCATAA